TTTGCAATTGTTTCAAAGAATAATCTTTGGAATTATGCATTATTTTCTTTCGGTATCATTTCCAAGTCCCTGGGAGTTTAGCAATTATAGCCCCCACTTGAAAAGTCTCCGGGATTTCAATCTTCACCGTTTTTAATTTGTTGACAATCACTTACAACTCATGCACTTGGGGAAGAAGGGGAATATTTTCTAAGAATTTAAAATCAAAGTATTTAGAAATCAAAAACTTCTTTGTACCTTCCTCTTTCGCTTTGTATTTACTTTCTAATGCGTTTCAGATTTCTTTTGTCGAAGAAGTGTTGGTATATAGATCATACAAGCGATCCGACAAAGCATTCAAAATATGACCATGACAAATCAACTCATCTTCTTAGCCTTTTTGTCTCTCGGCCTTGATTGGTTCGGTTTCTCCATTTGTTGGTTCCAGAAAAGGCGCCAAATTTGGATCAAGAATGTAGAAGATCTTCAATGCCATTAATGGGAATTTTAACTTGTCTTGCCACTGCGTGAAGTTTGTCTCGTTAAACCAGTCCAATCGAACCAGATCTTGATTCATAAGTTTGATGATGGCCATGTTTATCTCGTTCTCCATCGCAGGATAAATATAGTTTGAGATTGTTGAAAAATATGGAGTAGAGATAAGAATAATATCACAATAATGCAACAACAAAAATAATTAACATCAGAAACGTGATAAGAACAAGATCAAAGACTCGAACACGTAATCGTTGTCCTCAAACTATATTTGCCTCATCTCGGGATTGATTAAGATGCTTAAGGATTTCGACAAACAGTTCGTAGGATTATATCAAGCCTTGTAAATGATATAACACTAAAGTACGAGTGCGCCCTCCAAAACTTTAAGAACACCATGAAGAAAAGAGTATCAATGTGAATCAAGAATTTGATCTTTGATATTGGAATGAATATGGATCACAAATGTTTCTAACTTATTTTTGGCTTGAAATACATCATCTATATATAGGCCACCACCAATGTGCACGAATTGATGCCAAAATAAGCTGAAAAGCCACCACAATTCGGAGTTGCAACAGTAGAAAACCGAACTCCAACGGTCAGTTTTGTATAATTATGCGACTGCATAGTATTAATCTATGCGACTGCATAGAACAACCCAAAGAAACTCCAGAATTCCCTGCAATAGGCCATGCGACTGCACAGTATAAATCTATGCGACATCATAGAACAAAGTTTTGCCTCTAATACCTTTTTGGTTTTTCTTCATATCTATTATCCCATTTCATTTTTTCTTGAATATTGAACAATATTTCAACACTTCCACCCCCTCATGCATGCACCCTACTAGGTTGTTTGATGCACTATACTGGACAATATTATAAGAAGACATCTTCGTTTTCCATTTTGTGCAACATAATGCATCTAATTATTTTAGCTAGAGAGAGGCAGCAAGAATTAATGCTTGCATATATAAGGATTTCTACATGTATACAACCCACTTTTAGCTCTATTAAGCCCTTATTTGACAATCATTAAAACAAAACCTTTTTTTTTTTTCAATTCATTATCAACCACATATTCTCACAATAAAGTATTCTACATGTAAATCCGAAATTTTTCTACTGTTTANTTTTTGGAGAATATGTGGTTAAAAAATGAAGAAACTTGATTGGTTTGTGTGTAGAATATTTTATTGTGTGAGTGTGTGGTGGAGAATGATACTATCACAAATAATTTACAATTTTAAAGGGTGACAAACATGCACTTAGGTAGAGTGTTTATCTCTAATAAGATGGAGCCGAGATAGGTGCCCTTGTTTGTATTCTCAAAATTGTATATATCATGGTTATAATCGAGCAAAGGTTTGACAGGTAGTTAACCTTTATGCCTTGAGACCAGTCTTTGTTCAACTCTTCTTGAAGATATCTTAGCCCCTTAACGATCCAGCTCAAACATGGCTTATTTTGTAGCGAATATACAATTCTTTTTTCCCTTTTCTTTTTAACTTTTGGATTTTGAGGTCCTCACGTTTATGTTCGTGTTGTGATTGTGGTTGTTGCGTGGGCCGTGGGGGTTATGTGCCTCTCTAACACTACACCATGCCTAATTGTACATCAAAAAGGGATCATCACATTCAAATTTTTGCGATTCTTGCATGTTACTCATAAGTTAAATACATGTGAATAAATTTAAAAATAAAAGTGTAATCGAACACATTATTTTCTACTCCAGTATAAACCCACAGCATAATATTTAACACAATCTTTTACCTACATCAACTTACTATAACCCTCTTCTCAAATTGGAATCGGCTACGAAAAACACAGACGGAGTTTCCAATCTCTCAATCCATATTTGGTTTACAATTTTTGACACAATTGCAAGGTATAATTGACAAGACATTACAATAGATATGGTCTTTTGCAATATGCAAAGGGCAACATTCGTTATTTGAGTGTTGTTAAAATGGTCTATTGTACCGTTCTAATAAGTAAAAGTTGCTGTTGATTAATATAATTGAGTTTTGACAATATTTTTTAAATGAATGTTGCTAATGTAGTCTTTTTGCAACATTTATTGACTGTTGCAAAAAATTTTAATTTTTGCAATGTTTATTGAACATTGTTCAAATTTGGTTCTATAGCAATTGCTAAAACTCTTACTATACAGCATTGCAACAATGTTTATTGATTGTTATGAAAAGTTCTACTTTTTGTTTCCTAAAATGTTTATTCTTTTCTTTTCTTAATAGTCAAATACTATCTACTCAACAAGCAATCCGCGCATGTCAAAAAAATCTATGGCATTGAACTGGCAAAAATATGTTTAATAATATTGGGAACGAAAGTAACAGACCGACGCCAAAAACCTATCAGAAACATTTAATGCAGATGTGAATCCAAACAACGTCAATTTAGCAAAATTTTGCTTGTAGGCAGAAGATAATAATACACTATGAGACAAGTCAATCCTGAATATCACGAATTTGTATTCTTCCTCCTGAAGGTTAGGACAAAACCCCTTTGCGTGACAGCAACGGCCTTTTATGGGAATAAGGTTAAACCAATGGTTCAATCCTTGTCTATGGAGTTTGGGAGGGAGACAAACTGATGACTCTGCAACTTCATCTTTTCCAAACTATAGGCCCCATAAAATTTAGCATCAGAAAACACCACCACCCCCCCACCCCACAATCAGGTTCCAACATGTATCATTCACCCCAAAATTGTACTTGTATTCTTTCCTTACATATACACAACCAAACCTGTATTTTTATGTCCATCACAGCTTAGTTTTCTCCGTCACATATCGTGGGTTAGCTAAACTATGCAAATTTGTGCTTTCTCTCTTCCACTTTTTTTTTTCTTTTTCGATGCGTTTCTTGGCATGTAGTCATGGTCTTTCTCAATAAATTTGATAATATTTAGCTAGCAAAGTTAAAGCAATAGATTCTGTATATTCCAGCAGCAGTTTCACATTGATAAAACCAGATATCAGCTCTCTTTTTTCTGTTTCGTGCTTTAGTGCATGGTCATGGGGTGGCAGTCGTTTGTGATCCGAGTACAAAAGCTCCGGTGTTGGAAGAAGTTCTCGAGGTACATTCAAGAGCAAAGAACGCGTCTTTACATAATTTGGAGGTGTTCGGTGTTTCTCTTAAGAGAGAAATTGGAATGCGTAAAGTTCGATGATTGAGGTGGAAAGATAGTTTTGACCTCAAAATCTAGATGATCCTGTTGTCAATAAAAATGATCCAAATCAGTTGTCCATATCTTTCCGCAGTGCACAGATACATCAATTTATTATCTATGGTGGACAGCTGATTTGGCTCGTTTTTATTACAAGAGGGTCATCCTGATTTCGAGGCCAACATCTAACACCATAAGAAGTACGAGCAATCTTGCGAAGGCATTTTTAAATTACAAGCCAAATGGCTCGTTAGCTACACAAACTTGACACAGATGATGGAAGACAAGCAGAATTCTCTTTGGCAATCCAATGCCAACGGGTTTGGAATACAAAGTTTCAGGGCAAGTTGGAGATGAGAAAATCAAATAGATTGACAGAAAATATGTAAAATGATGTAAATTTTGAGTTGATAAAAATGTAACATTAGTTATCTACCTGTTCTCTCCTCCAAAGACATGCACAATGCATATTTATGCTTGATCAAACCTTGTGCAGGCTTGCAGAAGTGATGAACTTTCCCTTCTCTGGATTATCGACTCTTCGACTAAATTAAAATTATCTGTCAAATCCTTTTCATTTTATTGATTTTAAGGGTACCCAAAAACCTATCTAGTCAAGAAATCGTGATTAGAACACATAGTTCGAATCTACTGAGAGGCTCACTATCAATTGGTGTTGTGCCAATGTGCCATACAAGAGATGAAGAATTCAATTGATGTTGATAAAGATTCACATTTTATTCTGGCTGGCAAAACTCAATCATCGTAATTAATACCTCAAAATCGAAGGTTTTGATTAGGTCAAATAAATTTATTTATTTATTTTTCCTGTGGTCGGTGCCTATAAAATTTTCAAAAGCCGAGGTTGAAGTGCAGGAACTGTTAGTCATAAATTTAACCTTCAAGATTATGTCAAGAAGAGATGTTCATCGTCTCAAATAACACTTGACGACATAAGGATTCGGATAGAGGAAAATCTAGATCGATTCATAATAAATCGTTCCATAGAGACGGCTAGAAATGTGCCCTTGTAGGGGGGTTTTTTTTGGGTAATCAAACAAATTATTTGCTGTCGAGGAGTTTTACAAGAAATAAAAATTAAAAAGCTAAAACCTTGCTAAAAATTGTGTGAAGGATTGCACATAAGATATGCACCAAAGTCGCCCTATCAAGTATTGTGCACCAGAGATGCACTTTCCTCGACTATTTTGATTATTTCAAAAATATCTCTTGGCCCAAGTTATTCTTTCCATTTTTGCTGCTTTGCCAGTAGCAAATGATTTTTGAAAGGACAAATCAGCAACAAACATAAATGCATAATTCTAGAACCCAATCAATGTAATATTAATAACTTGGCTTTCATTTATTTATATTGCAAAAATTTTGCGTCAACACAGAGAACAATATGAACTCTCAAAGGTATATCATACTATTGCAACAACTTCTAGTCTTTCATTCTCCACCACAATTACAATAATCTCCATCAAGAGCAGGGTGTTCCGCTCAAACAATTGAAGCCCAATTTATCTTTTGTTACCAGGAAGTGGCTCACCAAGGTTCCTTTGCAATCTTGCAGAGGTCGAGTCATCCTCGCCCGACTTCTTGGGAGTCTGCCCTTGCTTATTTTGGCCTCCCTGGGGAAATTCAAGACGATACAGATCAAATTTTAAATGTATTTGAAAAGAAAAGGTTGCACAATCGTAGTCATATTTGCACATAGGTTCAAACTTTCCCATGATTTTAGTGCAGGAGATTTGGATAAGTCAAGCTTTACATAACCATCAGTTACCATGTTAAGGTAATAGTGATAAACGTATTTTAATGAATATTAATATGGGAATCCGAACAAGAAATCTCCTGCATTAGTTCAAAACTTGAGTTTAAATGCTTAACAACTCCATTTGATCACATTCACCAAGTAGATCAGTACATCTACTGAAAAGAATGCATCTTTCACAGTGTATATCATTGACTCCTGTGTATAATATGGAGATGATTCTTATGGGTTCTCAAAGACTATTTATTTAACTTAAACGTGTGTAATCAAACTTGTAAGCATCATTAGGAAGTACTAGACAAGATGAAGCTTCCATCTCTCTCTAGACCCAATAGTTGTCGCCTTGTACGTATGAAGATCCAGATATCTCCAAATATTTGAAAATTATTTTTCTATCATACAAAACAAACTCCTTATGAACAAGCTACAGAGATAATTTACTTACAGCTCCCTTATGGCCAGTTAACCTACGACTTGATGGGGCACGCGCAACTGATGAAGCAGCTGCAGCTGCTGCCACACGTATTCTGTGGCAAGGAAAACATCAGACTGCTTTTCATCAAAATTATTACACAACTGTAAGTAATGCCTCCATACCTTTTGTGTACATCGACGAATTCGTCTGTCTCATCAACAATTTCCTCCTATATTGACAAAGAGAATTGCAATGATACATTGGTTGCCAACATACGCAAAATGCAAAATAGAGATGAACAGTTAATTTACCAGTAGGTTTTACCTGCAAAAGTTCTTCAAATACGTCTTCCAAGGTGATAATGCCAATAACTTCACCATCTTCAGTATCATCGGATGAAGGGGACAATCCCTTAGTAACTGTATCATTATAGGTTAAGTTTTTAGAGGCTGGCCTTGGAAACCTTTCAATGTCAACAATAACACTTGCTGCCTTCTCTTCTTGCTTCAATAGCAATGGAGTAGTTAAGTCTGAATTCCCATTTGTCACTTCATTCTCTTCCGACTTCTCTTCAATCGATGGAGGTATTTTATTTTTCCCTTTAGGCTTCACAACAGCTGCCATATGACTGCTACCTTTCTGAAACTCGTTCAGTATGTCATATAGGGGCATATTTGCAGGAACACTGAGAAGAACCTCCATAAATGAATAATTTTAACCTTTCACTGTTAAAATATCATTTATAAGCATGTAAAAATTCAATGTCATACCGAGGAATTCTCCGTATAGAAACAGCGCTAACTGGGGTCTCTGTTTCTGCTCTCACAGTAAGAAGACTCTTTACCTGATAGTTATTGGGGTTTTGAGATTTGCATGTTTACTTATAGAATAGGAGATAATTTACAATTGCAGAAATATTACCAGTAAAAGTCCAATGATATTCTTCGGGTTCCCAGAGTAGACAGGAACTCGACTGTGGCCCCGAGCTAGAATCTTTCCCATTGCCTCCCTGAGATAAGGGGGAAATTATAGTTTAATCTATTGGCATGTTCGGTAGAGAGGATTAGAATGCAGTGCAAAGTATTGTGGGGAAAAAAGAATCTAAAATCTTGTTTAATATATTGTCCAGTCCAGCATTCCAAATATGTATATAAATCTGTCTTCGACTAAGAATATATGAAATAAAGTAGCACAAAAATCCATATTAGTAGTGACTGGTGCCCAAATCCTTTAACTAGTGTTCTTATTGATGGTATAGGCATCATTTCACAAAAGTAATTTTTTTTCTTTTCAAAATCTCAGAAAAATGAAACGGGGAACAATTAGACCATATTTCACTTGATGTAAGCCCATCATTTAAAATAATGGAGTTGAATGAAATACTTCCCAATAAAATCTAGTCACTTAAACTGAAATCGATAGCATGCATGCAATCTATCATAAAGAAGAAGATTTATCATCATTGAGGCATTCTATAATAAAAGAGTAGTGTAAGTTGCCAAATGTTATAACCTAGAGGTACCCAGCAAACGAATACGAGGTCAGGTGGGTGTTGGCATTGGCCTATATGGGGCTCTCAAATTTACAATTTATCCCAGCATCGAAAATATTTTTAATTACGCAATCAAAGCTGACAAAATAGACCACAAGACAAGAAAATGACACTGTTAAAAGTGCAGCAAAGAAAAATTCAGCAAGCAATTCTTACCAGTCCAACTTCGAATTAACATCCAATGAAAATGTTGATTCAATTGGTGTCATGGCCTCCTCAGCAGTCTGTTAGCATTTGTTGGTAAAGAAATGAGAGAAATAGAGAAAGGGGACAATTTTAAAAATATTACAACAATTTTTATTTATTTTTAAATGATTATGGCCTATCGCAGTCTTGATAGGAGGCATATGGGAGGAGGTAGAGAGCTAGAAAAAGACTTAATAGGTGCAATTTTTTATGAATTGAATCAAGAAGCGAACAGGGGTGGCAGGTCAGATAAGTAAACAGAAACATTTTGGTGGTCAAAAATTTTAATTATTGTTTTCAATATCACTTCCACTTCTACACGAAAGGAACTAAAATGTTGAATAATTTTTTCAGTAATCTTTGAACGTGAATAATTAAATGCCATAGTCTTCAACAATCTAATTCTGAATTGGAGATACCTTCTCAGTCAAATCTAGTGCTCCACTAATAATCGTAGTCTCGTCATGCGTGAGCTCACCTCCTTTACCAGCCTAAAGAAAAGAACAATAGCTAAATGCAGTGCAAGGAAAAGCTCAATGTGATAGATGAAACTTGGCAGTTTTTATCACTCACAAAAAATTGACAGTTAAATATAGTCATCCAATATCATTCAATTTAAAAATAAAAAAATAAAAAAGGAATACGAGAAATTGTTGTTACCTCCTGGCTGTGGATGGTGACAAGTGCCTTCAGCTGAGCTCGTCTAAACAGTGCCTCATTGTGTCCCAGTGCCCAGTCTAGAATCTTTTAAAAAGAAAGGGAAAAAAATAAAAATTAAAACTTAAAACATTTTTAATAAATACATCAAAAGCAAGAAAGATACGACTTTTTTCTCTATGTTTTGGTTCTCATCAAGAAGTCTTCCACCATACTTTCAATTTGTTGATGATGTTTCCAGACTTTCTGAAACTTAACAGTCTATGAAATAACTTCGAAGTTGCAACCCTTTCTTTAATCCACCTAATTTACAGTAAATGTCAACAGATGAACTCCTAAAAAGATTCTCTCTTGTACCTTGTTTGAAGAAACTGTTTCACTCCCAACCTCTTTCATTAAGATCTCTTACCCTCCAATAGATCAAAAATCTCCCACCCACATAAGATATTGCCTTTATAAGACCTCAAATCACCAAATACTTATTAATTGCAAAATTTTAGTCTATTTTTAATAGCTTCAACATTGCCTTAGAAGAGCAGAATTGATTTTGATATAAAAATATTTTATTCGCCAAAAATCAAATGTAGGTCATAACTAATTGATCTCAACAAGGATGAGAAAAAAATCACAAGGTTCTTATCCTTCCTCCTGATTAACTAAAGGAAACTATTTAATTAAGTTCCATTGAAAATCAATGATAGTGAACCCAATAATGGGTTATAAAGAAAGAAAATCAACAAAAAATGTGTGTAGCTCAGATGAGATTATCAAGGTAGACATATAGCAAAACCAGAAGAGAGAATATGAAATGATCGTGTTAATGAATTCTTCAAGGTAGAACTTATTGATGATAAATTGAATGAGAATTGTTCAAGACGCTTTAGGCATATTCAGTGGAAGTTCTTGGTTGAAATGATAGGAAACCAATTTAAAACGTGGAAGAGGAGAATCTGAAATCACGTGGAAATTGGCAATTAGAAATTATTTAAGCATTTTTATTATTAATTTTTGGAGACGATGATTGACAGAAAGTGAAAAGAAAGGATTCTATGCAGGCAACCTAGCTAAGTATGTGATCAGACTCTGTTGAGTTAAATTGATGATCTTATTGATCTTACAAATGCACATACCCTTAGTTTTTTTGCTCCTAGGAGTCCTATCAATCATAGGACCACATCCAATATCCAGTTTATTGTAAAGTAATCATTTTAACTTATGTAACATAGAAATTACCTTGCCAATAGGGTAAGAAATTGGATAACAAATTATCATTAGAATACGGACCAGCCAAACAAAATTTGCACCTACTGCAAGTCCGTACCTAGTACATATTGCTTGAGGAATAACCTGACAACATAAAGTCATATGAGAATCTAATCATTAAATGAAACTAAAGATTAATGGGGAAAAATATATATATATTAACCTAAACAAAGTTTCATGATTTGATGTACCTCTCCGAATGCTAGAACAAAAGTCACAGATAGTATAATGGCAACATATTGATTGAAAAGCTTATCAAGGTATATCGGAAGGGCCTGCAAGACACGAGATGATTTAAAAGTAGAATAGGATATAGATGCCATAGATTCTGAACTAAATAAATAAGTAAAAATTCATATATTTCTCTCTCACTTATTTCACTCTCATTACAAGGCTTGTCTTTTTTGTCCTCGTAGAAGCATGTCTAATCATTATATAAGAGACCTAAAGAATCTAGAACAAGAGAGTGCTGAGAAAAAAACTAAAAAGCTGGGACCTTGGTAAATACAAATGCATGACGGCCACAAAAGATAGGAAACAAATTACATGTTCTTTAGCTTGTATATTGGTAAAACATAAAGTCGTTAGCTCTAGGCTTCCTTCTCAATACTTTGATAGTTAAATATCATTACAAACCACAAGAGAGATTAAATTCTTGTTTTGTTCAAATCTACTGAATCAACCAGATAAATCATCAATCACGAGTGACATGTCCAAAAAATATAGAAGTATGATTAATGCAAAAATATTGTATTTTATCATGCTTGCAGATCCGACATTTATTGTGTCAATCAAAACTTCTGCTTTTATCCTTTTCAGCAACTACTGAAAGTGAGAACTAAGCTTTTCCTCCTCACAATTTACACGGAAGTTATTTCCCTAAAAATCGTAACATTCCTAGATGCTTGACCCTGTCAGAGAACCAGGAATTTGGTTTGAAATGAAAATTACAATAAGATTTTCAATTTGTCACCTCCATTGATGCAGCATTACATAAAAGCAATGTCACGAGAAGCTGGTGCTGCTTCTGAACCACCGGAAGTATTGTGGCTGAGAACAAGAACTTCCCATCAAATAAAGAAATAATAATAATAAACAGATCTATCACAGAAATATAAAAAATATATTTCCCTTGAAAATTTTAATTGTAACAACATATAACAAATAAAAATCAACAGCTTATTTTGTCACATGAGTCTGCCTAAAACATGTTTGGCTAAGTATAAAACGAAGTAAATGCTACATAACATTCTTTCTGAAAAAGTAACTTTCAACTTTAGCCAAAAATGCTCAAACTTCTTTGAAAAGATAAAGTTTAATAATTAATCTCAAGTCAACTAGTAATTAATAATAGCAACATGTTATTCTACTTATTATATCAGATAAAAAAAATATTCTATCTGTATCATGTTAGAACCATAAACTCGAGTCTATCATACATACAACACCCCAAATTTCTCATAAAACCAATCCAACTAAAAAGAAGCTCAAATTTCAATCATATTATATAGAACAGAATAAACAATTTCTCGATCAAATGGAAATGCGTAAATCGGGAAATGAACCAACCAGCCTGTTTTTTCTCCGAGGGCGTGCCGCTGCGCTGGAGGATCTCAAGTTCGACGAGGCCCAGGGACATGAGACCCAACGTCAATCCCGACATAATTCCGGCAAACAGCACTAAAACACATGAGATCCCTGCATAGACAAACCACCAAACCGTTCCAAATTCGATTTCCGCCCCCAGTACGCCGCCGTTTACGCCACCGCCATTCCTAATCGCCACTTGAACCAGCGCCACGGCATTAATAAGATGCATAATCTTGCTTTTACAATTTTGGTATTCTCAGTTTCTCAATCTAGGAAAAGCCCAAGATTTATGAGATTATGGGACTGCGGTGGAGTTGTAGAGAGACAACGAGATGGCTGATTTTCTTCTTTCCTTATAAAATTAATTAGTTGGTTCAGTTGGTTCAATTGAATCTGAGAATTAATTGAATGATTTTGGTTTGTTTCTCTATTCTATAATCATTTCCTTGGTTTAGCTAAAAATAAAAAAGAAAATAAATTGACAAAAGTCTAAGTTACCATTGATTTTAACTACAAATTTTATGAAATTCACGACTTTTATAAAAATTTTCAGTCATAGGTTTCATCAAAATTTATTAAACCTATGATTTTTAGCAAAATCGAATAGGAAATTTAGATTCAAAATTAAATAATAATAATATTAACACATTGTCTAAAAAATCCTTTTTAACAAAATCTAACCAAATGAGAAGAACAAGCTACTTCCGTGATTTCAATAAACTAAAAATCTTATATGGAGTATTCCATATTTTATGTTTGGTTTTATTAGTGGTACATCGGGGTGTACCTAATAGTGTACACCCCACTCACATAAACGAGGGACCCCCTCGAATAAAATATCCTTTCTTTCACATGGGTCTCACACCCATGTGAGTGGGGTGTACACCATTCGGTACACCCCATTATGTACCACTAGACAAATTCTTTTATGTTATTATCTTCAAAAGTCTCGTACTCAATTTATAACATATACCAGTTGCGAAATCATGAAGTTATGTTGAAATTACATGTCGTGTATAACGAATATTTATAGCCGTAAAACTTTGAAAAATTTCTATGGAATGTCTTATAGAGAATATGATACGTTAAAATCTTATCAAGAAAAATTGATCGAGATAAAAGAGATTATTCTTCCTAAATAAGCTATTAAAATTGCCTCATATAAAACTTCACTTGAAAAAATTCAACAAGACAAAATATTGGTCAAGGAAAAAAAAATCTCGTATTTAATCTCCCTCTTAATATTATCAGTTGAGATCTTGTTTATCAAATTCTTAGATATTATAGATGATACTATATTTTGTGAACATGTAAATCGTTACGATAGCCCATGTGAATAAATAAATTTGTCGATGAACTTTGTGTATGTCAGATAATACATTACATCATCATAATCTACTAATTCTGAATTATGAACTATAAGCAAGATAAAATGACACCTATTGTACTAAGATATAGTAATTTAGAATCAATTTTTTGTCATCTCTAAAACAAATGATTTTCTTTTTACTTCAATTGAACAAATAACCATCGAATATCAAATGGATGTCATTTTTATATAAGAAATCACTTTGGGATTTCTCCTATATAAGTTGAATAATAAATAAGAATTCAATAGGTTAAATGCTTGATTTGCAGGCCAAGAAAACTTAACATTTTGAGATATTTCATCATGATTCATGCTATTTAGCCCTTTTTGTGAAAATGAGTTTTGTAGTAGTGATTTTTTGAATAATGTATGATTAAAAAGTAAGGAAAAATTTTAAATTTACGTGTTAAACTATTTTATTGGGAGAATCTGTGATTGAATGATGTCATACATGTTGCATGATGTTCCCCTTGTATTATAGATCTAAATATATGAGTAAATTCCATTCTCATATGGAAAAATATGCACAAGGGTTGACCATTCATTTCCCCATATAATTAGATGATATGGTTCTACTGCTTCATACTTGGAAGAAAAATATTGTTCAAACATGAAGAGGTATAACCAGTGTTCTAAATAGCGCGTCAATGCGAGGCGAGGCTAAGGCGCCAAGCAAAGTACTTTGTGCTTTATTTGGCGGTCAACGGACGCAAGGTGAGGCTAAGGTTCCAATGTTTTTTTTTTTTTTTTTTTTAACAATTCTTTTAAATTAAAACTTATAATTATTAAATAATTTTTTTATTAAAAATTTAAAATAATATTAAAAAAAACGTTTTTTTACGCATTTACCTCGCCTAATCTTGCATTGCCCTTAACCTGGCATCAACACATCGCCATTATCTTACACCTTTTAGAACATTGGGTATAACCAATGTCTATATACATTTTCCCATAATTATATTTATTTGTGTTCTGTTTAGTGTACAGCACCCTTTTGCAACCCCTCACAATGAGGGGGCCCACAAATTTAATATTCATGTGGACACCCTCAACGTGTGAGAGGGTTGTATAGCATGGTGTACAAATAGCTTTTTCCTATTTATTTTGGACATTGAATTGATGGTTTCAAGGATATTCTATTTTGATAAAAAATACAGCATAGTGTACAAATAGCTTTTCCCTATTTATTTTGGACATTGAATTGATGATTTCAAGGATATTCTATTTTGATTAAAACAACATATACGAATCCCTTCCATCCATTTTTCACAACTAAAGGAATATCCTTCACTATTTTACTAAAAATGGAACGAATGAGATATGATCCATTCGTTCGTAGAACTATTTATTCATATTTGTCATTGTGTTTATTTTAATCATAACAAGTTGAAGTTGTCATCCTTGATGGTAGCAACCAGGATAAGCGGGCTAATTATTTTGTTGAGTTATTGCAGAGGAACCATTCAAGGAAAACTCAAGTTGATGATTGCGATTTTGTGGAAAGATTCAGCTCATGCTGCAAAGGATCACAATTCTACTAGGACTTTGCATGCCCAGTCAATCAAGACTAGTCAATATGCTTCTGCTCTGGTACTAATTTGTTCCGCACGTGTAGTCACGTGGAACATTAAGATCCCGTTTGACCTCCTTTCTCTTTCTATTTTTTCTTCTCACTCTTATTTTTAATGACATAATTTTTCATAAAATAATATTATACGTGAATCAAAATTTCTTCCTTCTTTTTCAACCACATATTCTCAACAAAAACACTATTCCAAACATTAAGGCCCCGTTTGGTACCCATTTTTTTCAAAATGCATTTTTCTCTCTTCTTTTCAACCACACATTCTTTATTAAAATAATATTATACGTAAATCAAAAACTTTTCATTATTTTTCAACCACGCATTTTTCATCAATTTACTATTCAAAAATGCATTTTTACATAAAAATGTCTCCAAACACCCTCTAAAATTTGAAAGAAATGGGGTCAAAACGGAAGCTAAGTGATATAGAATTTGTAAATTATAACGAATTTTCCTAATATTTTCACATATTTTTTAATTTATGCACATCACTATAACAAGTAACCAACATATCAATGATGAAAAATATCTAGTTATTTTCAAATAAAGGTAGCATACTCCTGAAATTTTTTATTAATTCACTCTTACTCATAATGTTTTTCTTCCTCAAGTTTGCAATCTGACATTAGATATCACTTCTCCTGTGTTTAAGGAAGGATTGGTAGTTCCATATGTTTTTGATATTGTTGCACTCGAGTAATAGTTCTATGATGGATACAGGTCGACTCATGTGTAAGTCTGCACATATTTTTTTATTAGTACATATAAATTATTTACTTTTTTTGTTTTCATTTCATTTGTAGGTAAAAGCAAGTTCTTAGTCTCAAAAGTTGACATTCAACCACCACTTGAATTCAATCATTTTGCGATGAACACGACGTTGGATTCTTGTATTGTCACAATTCGAGGATGTCAATGTCGTTGCTCGCCCTAAAGATGGTTAATAATATTCTCCAAAATGATTATGTATCAATACCGTGAAATCTAGTCGGACAGATGATCGTAGAAAGAGAAACATAATTTCTACATAAATTAAGAATTAGCAGGGAGAACGGAAATGAGAGAAAATCAGGAGGAAGAATACTTCTTGTCGAAATTTAGCTTGTTGACATGAAATAGAAAGAGAGACATGATTTTCAAATTTTGGCAATATTATGGGATTTACTTGTGTTATTTTTCAAGGATAATTCGGTGCAACTTTTATTAAAATGGCAATTTGCAAGAACCTTGGATAATTATATTCCCGCCACAATTTTTACTTTCTAAACATTTTAATTACACTTAAGGTTCTTAATCGTTGCTCATTATAGGACTTATGCTCCTAATGATTTTTCATATCATTCTTATCATCAGACTTTTCATTAGCTAACACATTTCGTATTTGATAACAGTTTTATATTCGAAAGTCTGTTGAAATGGAGTAAAACAATTTATTTTTCATCATATTCTTAAAAAATAAATAAATAAAAAAGTGCAAAATTTTTTTCCCCTCATTTTAAAATATGAAAACAAAATATTTTAATATAAATCATAATCAAGAACAATATGTACTAACTAATAAAAGGTTAAATATAAGAATTCAACAAAAAATGTTAAGAAAATAATTGCTATAATGAACAAAAATTTAGAAACTTAATTACAATTAAAATATGATGTATTAAACAAAAACTATGGTGACAATATAACCACTCTGATAAAAAGTGATCATTTTACAAAAAACACCTTTCGAATGTGACATTTGGTCAAATTCGTCTTCAAATTTTAGTCTTGTTACTCACGTAGCAAATGGAGCTAGTTGTGTAGTTAGGCAAAATAGCGTGTATTTGCTTGTAAAAGCCATATTTACAAATTACATGTCACTTTGTTGAGAGTAGCATTCCGAAATTGCAATTTTGTATTAAAGTTAACCGAAAGGTCGCATCATTGTCCAGTCAATGCAACAAGCGTTATACAAAGAATAGTTATTAAAATATAATCGGACCAGCCATTTTGGCTCGAGAACTGATGAATCGGACACCAATCCAATCCAGTTGGCACTATTTGATCCATTTACAATGAAACTTGACATGAACCAACCCCTTTAGCTTGAAAGAAAGTAAGGGTATCAGATCGAGCTTTCTTCCAGGTTTTTCAATGGCAAGTGCTGGTCGTCGAGTGGCTGAACCAACCCCTACGGCGGATCCACGTACTGATGAATGCCATCCATCCTTTATCGAGTAGCCTTGACTATTCTAGAACCCTTGCTGATTTGATAGCTTGAGAAAGATCGACCACGATTTTGATTTCTGACTGCCTAGCAGTTGATACCACAAAAGCAACGGGTTCCGGTGCTGGCTTTGTTGCGAATTTAACTGGAATTGGATCCTAAGAAGTGAGGTAAATTTTACAATGAAACTAGACATGAACCATCTAAACCAGTTCATATATGTCCTAAATTGGAAGGGTATAGGTGAACCAAAAACCGGTTCAACGTGCATCGATTTTTATTAAATTGATACATAAACAAAATTTATATCAAAGTTACATGAAGTGAGACTCGAATCCGTATTACCTTGTTGAAAGATCAGCCTTGACCACCATTGTCAATGTAGAATTGCAACAAATAATGTGAGCCAAATATATATATATATATAGTTTTTACTAGAATGACATAAAATAACATTTATAGTATTTTTATTTTAAAAAATATTTTTAATTAAAATTAAGAACTAACATCGACGCACCAGTTCAAACCCCAACCCCCGGTTGAACCATTAACCCAATGACCCGAGGGTTTTTCCAGGTCAATGAACGGGTTGGATCCGATAACTATAATACAAAGAAGTCAAACCAAAACGAAAAAAAGATCTATTAAATAATTGGACATTGAATCCACTAATGAGTTGAGAATTAAGTCCCTGTCTGAGAGCAATTTTTGGAAAGAAAATCAATTTTTGTGTCAACCCATGGCCCCACACATGCTAAAGATAAAGCTGCTTGCCACTTTCCCATGAATAATATTATTTAATCTCCTTGGGATTACAACTCCAATCAGGAAAGCATTAATATGACATTAAATGATACGTAAAGTTAAATAAGTCATTTAATTTCACATTTCATTCACTATATCATCTAGCGTCACCTATACTAGAGTTGTAACTTCGACAAGACTGCATAGCATTATTCTTTTTCAATTTACAGTACATGACTCATAGAATATTCTAAAAGTCCATAATGCCCCTTTATGCAACTGAGGGAGGAAATGAATTCATGGCATTGTCAGCAATAGTTCTAGACAATGACTAGTGGGTACAATACTTTTCCGAAAGGAGTTAAGAGTACATGAATAAACAAATGATATTTTATTGTGTCAAACGGTCATATTTTATCTTTTAATTCTAGTTTAATGGATCCAAACAGGCGCTAAAAAGGTTGAGTGGATATGAAACTTTGCTCAATGTTGGGTGTTACATCTAGCTTTTCAGTAGTGGCTCATAAACATCTGAATTGGCAAGTGCAGTTCATCCCAAGTCCAAAACCAAGAACTTTTCCAAGTTTGAGAACAGCAATGGAGTTTCAGCAATCTGGTAAGGCAAACCGACTACATGGAATGGACCGCCCAATTTTTTACAACAATACTGTCCAATACTATTTGATCCACCTTACAAAACATTTCGTACATGAGAGAGAACATATTTCCTAGAATTTGTAAGGCTTCGCCTTAGCACGAGGTTTGCAAGATCCAGGCTTTGCAAGGGTAACATAAATGAACTTGCCATTGAAAAACTGGACAGTGGCAAAATTCTAGAGTCAACAAAATTTCAACCGTCAAACTTGTTGAGTCTAGAAAGACTTACATACCTTTCCATTCATCTCTTCCACAGCAGTTTGTGCAAACTCTTCTCTTGTAAACCAAACATAAGCAAATCCCACAGGTTGCTTGGTTTTCTTATCCATTATGATTTTTACTAGCAAATAATACAAAAATAAGCACTCTGATTATCTTCAAGGTTTAAAAGATGTAAGACGTATAGCACAGCGCTATAGAAAAATTCACCTCGACTGACTCCTCCAAATCGTGAAAATGCTGTTTTCAACCCCCCTTCAGAGGTTGATTGCGCTAGTCCTACATCAGTAATACATATGCTCAAGCACATTGCATGTTGGAGAATATTAGACAAAATCAATACACTCCACACATGGCATGTTTGATAATATAGACTAGATAACACTAAACAACCCAACTCGTAGTCAGTCGCTCATGGTTCAATATGGTTCGAGCACAACAGGGCTCTCACCCTAACGCCCCTTTCCAGGGAACTTGGGCTCGGTCAGCCGTTGAGGACTAATTCGAAGGCTAAAGCCACCCGATTCTTAATTTAGACTTTTCCAGTTCTTTAGCCATTACTAGGAGAATCTTTGTAAGTTTCTTTTCCTCTTATTATTGTTATGCTTAAACTCAGTGGATAAGGAAAAAAAGAAAACCAAGTTACATAGTATTCATTGGCTCATTTATCTTCTCAATTAAGTTAAAAATTTTCTTGCAATGAATGTAAAACTGTATTATAACCCCTCCAAACTATGCTCATACCCAAGGCCACAATGCGTCTGATTATGAACACAAAAGAAACTATCTTTAAAACCAGAAACCCAAGTTTTCTATATATCTTAATTACATTTCTTTCTTTAAAAATGAATACTACCACTCATAGTTTCATAGTAAAAATGTTGTATCACGTAGCGTAACTGTTTAGCCCCTATTAGGTATTAAAATTCAGATTTTAGTCTAAGTCAAAATCACATTTAATCAATTTTTATCAAGGGTCTAATACATGCAAAATTTTCACAAATGGATAGAAAGAGACTTAATCCTATTTCAAAAACTAGTTCATATAAAAGTTCGAGCTCGTTAGCTATTAGAGATATTTATTAAAATATTTCTTCGACAAATAAATTTAACGTAAAGCACCATACTACAGGTTAAGAATAACTTAGCAAGCAAAAATTGTACCTTTTATAAAGATTATGGTTGTTGGGGGGTCAAGTTTATCAGGTCCATTTGAAAGGTTCGAGCTCGAACAGCAGAGAGGTTTCTGAATGAATGCATTACATAAAATGGTCGGGGCAAAAGTAGAAATTCTTGATTTTTCAAAGGCGGATTTCATGGGAATTAAGGATTTCGCTAAAAAGGGCGTTTGATTAGCAAAGTTTCTTGGAACTCTATTGGATGAAATTGGCGAATTACCGAGAGAGCAATAAAGGGCCATTTGAAACCCTGGAATTGATGGAATACAATATCCGCTAATTTTCCACTTCAATTTTTCCGCAACGGGCAAGGTAACATTGGGCTTCACTTGATATGGGCTCATTCAAATCCATAATGAAATGTGGAAATTACGCAAAACTATATTTTAACTATTCAAAATTCCTAAATCAGATGGGAAGTTTGACATTTCAAAGTTCATACTATTTTTTAATTATTTAAATAAACTAATTACCTAAAAAAAAAAAAAAGAACCCTATACACTACCCAGACGTAGCCCCCATCTGTTCCCTCTCCCTCGCTCTTCTCTCTCAATCCTTCACTCTCCGACAACGATAGCCCTCATCTCCTTACTCTCTCTCTCTCTCTCTCTCTCTCTCTCTCTCTCTCTCTCTCTCTCTCTCTCTCTCTCTCTCTCTCTCTCTCTCTCTCTCTCTCTCTCTCTCTCTCTCTCTCTCTCTCTCTCTCTCTCTCTCTCGTCTCTCTCTCTCTCCCTCACCTCTCAACTTGAGAGCATCACCGTTGAACTGAAGACACTCGAAGCCACAGGACTGAAGGCACTAAAATCCATCGCCGCTATCAGTCACTGTGAGCGACGAACTCGTCGCCTCTAAGCGGCACTTGAGTTTGTCGTCCATAGCGACGATCATGTCAGATATCCGGCCGAGTGCAACGACAAGCCTAGACGGAGATGATGGTTTAAGAGCGCGTCGTGCGTAGCGGTGGAGATAGATTTATGGTTTGTGGTAGATTTATGGTTTGTGGCTTTTTTTGTGATGGGTTTCTAGTGGTTCTTGTGGTATTTTTGTGGTTATTTTTGAGGTGGTTTTGTGGTGGGGGTCGTGGTCACATGTGGTGCATAAGAGATGATGGTTTTTGGAGTTTGGTGTGTGATGGTGGTGCCTCAACGTCGCTATTTATTGGTCACTGATGCGACACTCGTCGCGGTGGTGTTGGTTTTACTGTTGATGTTGTAGTGGTGATGATATCGACGGTGGTGATAGTGGGGCGGCATCACTGGTGGTTGTTGGCAGTGATGCGCTGCTTTGCAGTGGTGGGATGGGGCTTGGATGCTGTTGGTGTTGGTGTTGTAGCGGTGGTGGTGGTGGGCAAGGTCGCTGGTGGTTGGTATGGGTGTAAGTGACGATTTTATTGGTTGACTGAAAGTTGTGACCAATGTGGTGATGGTTTTGACGGTGATGACGATGGTAGTGTGATTGGAGGTAGCGTTGAAGTGGTAGTCGTAAGTGTTGGTGATGGTCACAAATTATTTGGTTGATTGTGACCAATGAATTAGTTAATTTGTGACCAATAAATAATATATGACCAATGAAAAAGATAAATTGTGATCAATAAATAATGTGTGGCCTAAAATATTAATAATTTGTGACTGTCTAATAAGTTGTGACCTATAATATTTGTGATTTGTGACTTATAAATTTTATTATTCGTGATCGAAAAATAATATGTGACCTATAAAATTTTTTATTTATGACAAAATTAAGTTGTGACCAATAATTTGATAAGTTATGACTAAAAATTAATTCGTGACTAATTTATTTTTTTGATTTGTGACCAATGAACAAATTGTGACTTACAAAGTTTTTGAATTGTGATCGTAAAATAATTTGTGATATAAAATTTCTGATTTATGACAAAAAAATAATAAGTGTCTAATTAAATTGTTAATTTGTGATCAAATTGTATAGATATGTGATCTAAATATATTTAATTAATAAAATAATTAATAAATTAATTAAATCATGAAATATTTAATAAAAATCTAATTTTTGAAATTTTGAAACTTGTTTTCTTAATTTTGAAATATGTTATAATTAATCTCTTACTTATGAAATTTTTCGAAATGAAATAAACAAACTCTCTCCCAAAACATTCCCCCCCCCCCCCATTCACTTTTCCTTTTATCAAAATATTGTAAGTTTGTAACCTTAACCAAATGCATTTTATTAGAAAAATTCAAATTAGAAGATCTTACAATTAAACCGCGAAAAAGCATCTTTTTCTTATGCAGAACATTAATTCTTAAAAAAAAACAGGGACATGAGTGCAAAACTTAGTAACACATAAGGAGCTTCATTGTAATTGAAATGTGGTGCAGTAACAAAAATCGTGATGTGAATATAAGTGCCCATTTATTAATAGGCTGTTGATGAGGTCCCAATTGAATTTTATTAGTATATTGTGTTTGATTTTTTTTTTTACTTTATTTTATTTTCTTTCTTCCCAGATTTTCTATTTAAACTCATGTTCCTTTGACGTATTTTGGTGATTTATTGAATAAAATTAAAATCCATTGTGAATTATGTGAAGTTTTCAGTATTTTATAGGGATCAATTACTTTTGATTAATGATTACAAAAGAATAAATCTGCTTGTACAGAAGCAGATCTGCCAGAATTTCTTCAAATGTTGTTGTGACAGCATCTAATTGGTCTGCTTTTCTTTTTCATGTCCAATAGAAATTTGTCAAGTGTTCTTTGGTAAAATTTTGTCAGAATTTTTCTGTACAAGAAGCAAGCTTCTTCACAAGACCAATAAGTTTTTTTTATGTGAGACAAGCTCAACAATATTTATAAGAATCAATGATTTGTCAATAGCAAGGTGGTCAGTTATTATATTTTTCTTGTACTTCCTTTAATTTTTTTTTTCTTTTTCTTATGTAGTTGTATTATTCTCGGATTGACAACTCCACAGCGTGTGTTTCCGATTGGCATACCTTATTTGTTCTATGATTTTTTTATCAATAGCTTCTATCTCGAGAAATGATTTTGATACTGAATGTCTGAGCTTTAAGTGTTATGTCCTAAGTTCAATTAATTTTTGACACAACAATTTTAATATATAATTGATGTAATTTTATTGCAGATCTATTATTTAATTAAAATTTAATTAAATTAAATAATGTAGTTCATAAATTTAAATCATAATAATTTGTTAATCACAAAGAGTTGTAATTGTGAGATACAAATTATATATGATTGAAACTTAAATCATCCATGGTTGTAAATAATAACGAGATACGGATATGATTATTGCGGATAGATCATCACGTTTGACATTTCTTACTTGTGAATTAAATAGCTAATCTCACAAGTTAAAGTGTAGTGATACTTAAATGAACACTTAATGTTTTGTTATAGAACAAAATATTGGAGAGCCATTAGGGAGATTTCACATGGATAACTATTTGCGTGTCAGTGGTTAATCTCTAACTTTCGGTAGTTGATTGATCCTTTGACTTGAGGTTATCATAGTGCCTTATATGAGGATAGTTATACTCTGGTGGTGTTGGATATTGCTTTACCAAAGGTCGGTAATACGGCATCGTTCGGGTATGTCAAGAATCATATGAAAATTGTGAATGATCAATAGAGGATTTGTTAGTCTTAGATAGTAAGAGATTATGATTTAAATTTTATTCAGTTAAATTGATAACGAAATTATTGGCTAAGATGTACTCATAAGTAGAAAATGAGTTTTCAACTTATATTGACTTAATAATAGAATGAAAGATACGATCAATAATTGAGATTGACACATATTCATATCTCGTAATTGATCGGATCGAATTAGAGTTTCACGATAAACGAACAAGTTTAATTTTGTTATATTACGTGACATTTTTCGTTATATGTATTACTTTAACACATTGCTAGATGTCAATTTAGGACGACGAATATAAATTGATGATAAATTGAAAGATGTATTTTAATTTATCAATTTTGATTAGATCAAAATAATAATTCATATTGTTAAGTATCGTGATTGAGAATCTAATAGGTCACACACAAAAGGAAAACTAAAAGAATGAGATTTACAAATTATTTAATTGACAAATGCAGGATAATTAATTAATTTGGTTGCTTGTTAATAAGATCGAATTAATTAATTGGATTAATTAATTTACGGATCAAATTTAGCCCCTGTTTGACCCCCATTAATTTCCATTACATTACATTTCATTTTTATCTTTCCTATTTTCAACAACATAATTTTTCATAAAATAATATTACACATAAATCGAAAACTTTTTTTTTCTTTTTCAACCACTCTTTTTTCAAAAAAAAAAAATACTATTTCACCCATTTTCTTTTCTACAAAATGGGGACCAAACGGGGGGCTAATTAATTGGATTAATTAAATATTGGACCGAATTAAATTAAGAGATAGATCAAGTCTATTTGAACTTATATTAATAAGCTATTAGGGTTTGAAAATTTGTAGAGAATACAATTCATATTCTTGCAAACACAAGAAAAGAAAAATCCCAATTTTCTCAATCTTGTTCCCTGCGTGAATTTCCATTGAAGACTGGACAATTGACCAACTGTGAATTGTAGATCGTGATTGTTCAAGTTCAAGAAAAGCAAAGGTGATTGCATAATTCAACAGAGATATAAATTTCTACCACAGTTTTTTATCTAAACACAAAAAATATTTTTTTATGGAAATTGAAAATTTTGTTTAACTTTCGCTGTACATGTCAACTAAATTCCTAACATGAGTATCATACTTTTAATGGAATCCAATCTTTACACAACAAATCATAAATATACAAGCAAATTTGTGCTACTCATTGTTGATTCTTACTTATATTTCATATAATCAGTGGTGTTGATTTGTTAATGACTTGAACATCTTATCGAAAATAGAAGACTTTGAAGCTTTTTTGAAGAATCATTTTATCTCGCTTAAATTTTCTTGGTTCTAACCAGTTTTCAATATGTTAGAGACGAGTAAAAAAGGCAAATTCTTTTTTAATTTTTTTTTCTTTTTTTCTTTCCTTTTTTTTTTTCCCCCATTCTTTCTTTTAGTATGAAAGGACAACTTTATTCTTTAGCTTTTCAAGACTCACTTGTAATCGACACCAAAAGTTTGTTGCTTCAATAGAAAAATAAACCTAGATTTTTATCTAAGTAAAAGGAAATAAAATGCATGAATTTCCACCAAAAACACAAAATTATAACACATATATAGCATTAAGTGTGTATATATTTACATAACATTCAGCATAATAGGATAAAAAGAACTAACCGATATACAATAAATTGATCGTATATATTTTTGTAGGATTGGATTTTTTTTCACAAACTTTAATTAGAAATTGTAAACAATAAATAAAGTTTTTAACTTCTTTTTTCCTTAGTGACATCAAGTATATATTTTACAATTTATAAAAAAGATGGTAAGGTCACTATATGGATAGTCCATAATTCACAATACAGTAAAAACCTCTATAAACTAATAATATTGGGATCGAGAAAAATATTATTTTAGAGGGATTATTAATTTATTAATAAGTAAATAATTTATTAATCTATTGATATGAATAATTATTAATTTATAGGATATTTTATATTTTATGACTTATATTATATTTTATCATAATACAAGTAGGAAAGTAAAAAAAAAAAAAATTAATAATAATAATAGTGACGAAATTCAAAATTTAATCACTGAGCACAAAAAAGGCACATACACACATTCCAAGAGGAAACATATGTACGTGCATTGATTTCAAAGTTTAATATATTGAAAGATTAATCATTCAAGTTTAGTATCTGCATTGCAAAAAATTAGGGATGAAGTTGAGTTTTGTTTGGGTGCAAAGGAAAAGCAAAAGACTTTAGATACATATTTTGGAAAAAGATGCAAATCGAAAAAAATGTTATCAAATTAAAAGTTTGTTAATTTGTATTAGCATGAACTTTTATGAATTTAAGCAATTATTAATTTATATATTCATTGGATCTTAAAGGATCTCAAAACGTTATCATCTTATGCATCTAATGGGGTTATTAATTTAGTACATTGGTTCAAATCAGGACCGAAGAAATTTATTATTGAAGTGAGATTATTAATTTATCGAACATTAATTTACTGAATTTTTATTGTACGTGTGATGCCCTTTTGCATACATACATAAAAGTCTAATACATTCATGTATAAGCTGTTGAGTTTTCTGACCTAAATTATGTTGGATTTTTTGAGAAAATATTATTTTCCTTTATTCCACGCGTTTTTATTGGAAAAATATTATTTCCTTGATTCTGTGCGTCTTGGAAAAATATTGCTTCCTTTATTTCGTGTGATTTTGATCTTGTTTTCATCTTTGT